AACACTACAAAATACATATATCCCTGAAATCTTTGTACCACAAGGAACAATAAAACACATTTAAGCACAGTTTTCAAAAAAATAAAATAGATTTCCAAATAATAAAAATCCTAATCACAAGGAACCTTTTTTTAGTACAACTGGAAGCTTTTTTCCTATTGATATCAATCAGAAAGACCATTAATTCTAGGCTAACTTAAGGAACAAGAAGCCTTTCAATCATGAGCAAGTCTTCAGTTCAACGATTTATAAGTTTAATTCATCTTTTATAATTTACAGATATCTTGGTAACTTCAGTTTTTCTAATATCCTTCTGTATAGTTTCAATGAAAGCCTTCTAAAGGCATTGTTAACGTAAAGCACTGAGTGTTGATGAAGAGGAAAACAGAAAAGCACAGAGTCTTTATCAGCCATTGGCCATTGTTTTGGAAGGAAAGAGGAAACAAATTTCGGGTAAGGTTGGCTTTTACTGAAGAAGGGTGTAAGAACACATATAAAGGAATATAAATCAGCATAATAAAAGATTCAGAAACAGCTTAAGGATTACCTATATCACGTTTCTAGGAATTTGAAGGCAGACAAATAAACTTAGGGAAAAAAAAAAAAAGGATATATAGCTATAGCATATGCAACTTAATATACGTTGATAGTCAATATGTTTTTCTCCTTTGTTTTACAAACTTAATAAACAGAGTTCAGGTAACTTGAGCCTTACCAAGATCCTCAGCTTTCTTCAACTTTTCATTTATCATTTCCTGGGTCCGAGGATCAGGTGCAGGTACAGGCAATGGTGCCAAAGGTGGAGGGTTTGGCAATGGTTGAGGCAAAGATGCTCGATCTTTATTGAAAGCATCCAAAAGCAGAATGGACTGTAACAGCAAATAGAACATCATATATAATAAGAGACAAAATGCTATCCAAGATATCAGGAACTTTATGCACATTTAATATCAAGGGAATCCTAAAATGAAAACATTAATATTTTCAGTGATGTCGTGACATGACAATTCCTACAAAAGAATCATTTTTAAAGTACCTGTTTATCTGCTCTTTTAGTTCTGAGCTCTTTTACTTCTTCTAGAGCTCGTCTTTTAAGATATGTCTTGCCTTCAAGATCTGCAATTTAGAAACAATCATGTACATCACTTAAAAGCTAATATTAAGTAAAGACAGGGGGCCAAAAAAAAAAATTACACAGCATTATTGGTGTAAGTACAACAATTAGTGCTTGAAACAAAGAAAAAAAAAATTCTAGCAATAGGGGTTGCAAACATCAAACATGATATGGTTTACTACTTACTAGAACATGAAGTAACACAATTTTGTGAATTTCATATACTCACTGAAATTTAATATACATTTAAAACCCCTAAAGGCCTAAACAAGAGAAATTCTCAAGACTTTTCAAATTTTCCATTTTACAAATGGCCCCAACAAAGTTAAAACATGACCCCTCAACGAACTTTGTACGTCTAAGCTGCCACTTAATGGCACCCAGGATGATAAGAATGATTAACCGTTCCTTGATGCTATTATCAAGGTCATCCAGGATATGAAAAGAAACATAGCCTCACAGCATGTTTGACGGGGAGAAATTAAATAAAGGAAGTTTCGCCCCTCCCCTTCCTTCCCCTTCATTTCCTTCAAAACAAATACACTCTTAGTCTTAGGTTGAATCCAATCCAACCATATTGTTCAATCTTAACTATCCATATTAAACTGACAGTCTTTTCACTCTAAAATTTAATTGTTCTCCTAAGACAACTTAAAAAATTATAAACTTCAAACGTTGGGGAAAGCAGTTGAACTCTAACAATAGTTATCCTTCTGTACCACATAATTAAAATCTTAGAATTTAAGAAACCTGACGAACTAGACAAACAAAACTTCACAACAATCATTGCAAAATTGGACAGCACCTTGAACCATACACATAGAGTACTCTTAATCGATTGGCAGGACAGACTAATGGATGGTAATGCATCTTTTTCAAATTCAAGAGTCCCACCACGTTGGATATAAACCTCATCAGAAAATACTAGTAGCAGCTGGTCCCTTTTTATGTATAACCTTGGAAAGTGAAATAAAATCTAAAACTTAACATCAAAAATTGACTGATTTCCACAAAAAGAAAATCATAAAAGCAAATATGATAAAAAAATATATATATATGAAGTCACATGCTTACCACGT